ACAGAAGCAAAATAACTGCTCAGTAAGAACAGAATGAGGAAAGACAGACGACACCTGATGAAGCAAGGGGGGAAAACACAAGATTAGATATGGATGATAATTGGTGGTGGTGGTGTGTGTATGTGCATGCGTGTGTGTGTGTGTGTGTGTGTGTGTGTGTGTGTGTGTGTGTTGGAGGAGGTGGTGAAGAAGAAAGAGAGAGAAATAAAGAGAAACTTTGGCAGCCGTCTTGCATATAGACCAGTCTTTTATCTGCTGCTTTTAATCCTGACATGGTCCACTTTCATGATAAAGCTTGAGCTTGTATAACCAAAACAAGAAAATTCATAATCATAACACTAAGCCTTCTGACCACCTCTAAATTTAGAGAGGCTTTGTGCAAGCTGAGAGTGAGCAAGAGAAACATGCTTAACTAGACAAGAATGGTCCAGAAAAATAGAGATCACCAAAGCAGACTTTGAATTAATAAGCAAAAAGTGTTGTGCCTTTTTTGATGGGGCACCATGTGAGGCAGGACTGCCATTGTTGCCCCCTAAAAAATTATTATGACAAGAAAAAAAACTTAAGTTCATGATATAGCCTAAATGTAAAATGGGATGGCTCCAGATCATTTTTGTAATCTCCATGCATTTCTTCATACGAGTTGCAAATGACATAAAGGGGTGATGATCACATTTTCAGTTTAAAGCAAATGATCTCCTGAGTTAGTCTGTGAATGCAAAACCCTTTTACCTACAATAATTGTGCAACTTTATATAAATAAATAAGTGTATAAAATTAGATGTGTAAAATTAGATCAAAAACAAATCTTTCTTTTCATTAGAAGAGAAGAAAAGTTCAAGCATAAGAGAGTAAATATATGGTTGAAAAGAACATGTAAAATGATCAATGGCTTAAACAAGCTTGAGGACAGTAATGGGTCATGAAAAGAATGAGGTGGAAAACATTAAGAGTGCTTCAAGAACCAAAGAAAGGACACATGGATAAAAGACAGAGAGAAATGATTAGGAAGAGGTAGAGAAAATGACTGAATATCTGTGCAGAGAATAGTTCAGTTAATAATTGGCCTGTGTTTAAGAGTTGAAACAGAAGTGTGCGAGTATGTGTGAACATCAGCTTTTGAACGCATTTGTGGTCCCCTGTAGAGTAACAGGAGCTCCATTGTATAAGAGTGTGCCTTCAACCAGAGCCGGGTCCACAATGCAGACCACCTGTATGCTAATGAGGGATCATCCCATTGTCTCCGCAAAAAGAGAACAGCTTGTTGGAGTGTGCCGCAATGAGACCAAGCAGGGAGTTAAATAGGGCGACAGAAGTGTGTATGTGTGCCATGGGGTCAGACTGCTGCGTTTCTAATTGATGACCTCAGATGGAGGTCATAGAAAACAGGCTTTGATTTCAATACAGCTTGCCAGATTCATTTTTTAAAATAGTTTCTCAGTACATGTGTCCACATGCATGAATCAATGAAGAAATATTCTCATACATTCATTGAAGACCAAAAGTCTGAGATAACGTTGAAAATCTGTAAAACTGGAATTTGTTGGATTTTAAAAAAGATCTCTTTCATTCAATTTTTTTTTTTTTTTAATTAAGGATTTTGCACCAACTGTCATGTTATTAACATGATTTGTATTCTAGAAAATAAAGTGCAAAATTATTAAGAAATGCTAAATTTAAATACACAGACAGAAACAGAGAATATATATATGCAAATGTACAAAATTAATAGGTTAAATTAAAGTGCAAAAGTATTTAATTTGATTTTTTTTTTCATTCAAAAAAGGAATATATTCAAAAGTTTTCTTAAAGATTCGGTGAGGCTGCATTAAATTTATCAAAAGTGACAGTAAGACATTTATATTGCTACAAAATATTTTAAATAAATTCTGTTCTAATGAACTTTATATTCATAAAACAATCCTTAAAAAATTATGGTTACCACAAAAATATTTAGCAGCACAACTGTTTTCAACAATTATAAATAATAATAATAATAAGGAATGTTTGTTGAGCAGCAAATCAGAATGATTTCTGAAGGATCATGTGACACTGAAGACTGCAGTAATGATGCTGAAATATCAGCTTTGCAATTACAAGAAATAAGTCACACTTTACAATACTTTTTTTTTTTTTTTTATTGTAATAATATTTAATATTGTACTGTTAGTAATATAGAACTGCTTGATGACCCTATATGGGGAGTGCCAGGCTTTTTCCTTTTCTCTATTTTTGCACTCTTGATTATTTAGTTTTCTGTTGATTTTCTCCTACATGAACACCTACTCCGTTCTCCAGGTCATCCATCACTTTTGTTCATTTATATTATGCAACTTCCAAAGTAAATCTATTTTGCTCTCCATTTCTCTCCGTTTTTCTCTTTCCATCTTTTCATCTCTCCCTCTCAGTGTTTCGCAATAGCAGGTTCTCTGTATAACGCAACAAAACACTCCCATTTCCAACCCAACCCTCAACGGCTTTTACACCCATCTTCACCTTTTATCATATTAACCACATAACTATCTTTTCCATATTTGATCATCATTAACCCACCCACTCACAAACATTTCTCCATTTTAGGAGCAAGTGTTACACGCTATTAACAAAAAAGTAATTATATCTAGTAATTATTGACTCAGGTGAGGCATAGAAACCAAAACATTACATATAAATGGTTTCTGCTGGTGCCCAAAGGGCAGACACAGCTTGAAGCATGTAAAGGTCGACCAAAGTTTGTCAATGTTATTATTGTTGCCAGTTCTTTTGTTGCATAATTATGGCGGTAATTTTGCATGTCAGGCAACTAACAAACAAAGTAAGTGTTCCATGGAGACACATTCAGCTCAGGATAACTAAGCTATGGGCTTGTTTCACAATGAGGAATAAATACATTTTTCATGAGATGTTTCATCATTCCCATCTGAAGTTAGAAGCTAATCAAAGCTGGGAATACATTTCTTTGTTGCACGGACGAGATCTCCTGAGCCCATGAGGATATGCATTAGCAACTTGACAGCTTAAACGCTAAATTAACTCTAATAACAACACCTTATGAAGTGCTGTTTAAATGATCCTTCTTCTCATTTTTCATCATGAATGCTTTGTTGGGATATCCTGCAAGCAGTTACCTCAAAGTTGCCCTCGCTAAATGACCCCGAGGGCCATTGAAATGGTCACTTTGGCTGAATGCTGCAATAACAATGAAGGAGCACTTTTGCATACTATAACATTAACAGGACATTAGAGAATTTGTGTTGTACTGGATGCAGGGTTTCCAGGCTGAATGGTGAAGTCGTTTACACCTTGATCGCTTTGTAAAGCTGCAGTCCGTTATTCAAATGCGGCCTTTGTTCAGCCACTGCTCTGAACGCTGGACAACTGCCCATTCACATTCATTCGCACACACACACACACACACACAAGTGGACAGTATGGCCCAACAAATGCTAAACAGTCTTACACAGATCTATCCACACTTTATAGACAACATCGGCTACTGTGTAGGAGGGAAGTGAGAGAACAAAAAAGACAGTGTGTACTAGAGCAAAGAAAAGAGTGAGAGAATAAGACTGAGAGGAATTTCAGCTTCTGTCCTAGACTGTGATAGGGCTCAGTGCTCGATGCCAAGCCCGACTGTAAAGGGAAGCCTGCTGTGGGTAGATCTGTTCCTCAACATTTACTCCGAGCTCTACCTCCTACGCCGATGGAGCTCATAAGCATACTTTATTCTGCAACTCTCAGACTGAATAAAAACTGTATATCCATAATGTCCTTGTTCACCTGGGCGAAGGTGACGCATTGCTCTCTAAGCAGACGGAAAAGCACCCTCACTCATATACACTCAGCTTTGACTAATCGTCCCAAACTGAAGCTTTCAACAAAATGGAGCATGTACGAGCCTGCCTAGCCCTGCCTAGCCCAGCCCAAAATAGTCCGCAGGTAGACACGCTTTCCACCCGGCTCACCTTATACCCTCAAGTCAAAAAGACCTGGACAAAAGAGAGGATAATTGCTTTCACTGTGACCCTAGGATGAGTATCAAGGCCTGGATTAGAGGTACCCTCCTGTGGAGGTGGGATGAGGGGGAAAAGCCCTGATGACTGTAGTGCGGATGTCATAATAACATTATCAGGTGTAAAAGGGGATTTTCGGGATTACAGTTTTTTTTTATTGATACCCAGGACAAACCTGCTTTGTTTGTTATTCTACACAATGAATCGCAATGTTTCCAAATGTAATATTTCATAAAAAGACTGCCCACGGTAAATTACTCAACTTGCTGTCATACTGATTAATGCGGAACAGTGTTATATCCAGCAGGTACACTATACAGAAATATAGCCATTTCAGGCGTGTATTCAGAAAACCCTGAAAAAAGGTATATAGATTAAAAATATTATAAATAAAAATAAATAAATGTAAAATGACCAATATAAAACAATGAACAAAATAAGAAATTGGGTTACTTTATAATAAAAACAAATACTTGTATATTTACTTATAATATAAAAAGTTTAGGTATATGCATATAAAGGACGTCAGTTAGAGACAGTCAGACAACTAAATTTTAATATTTAAAAATTATTATTGTTATTACAGTTATTATTATTATTAGAAATATTTTGGTCAACTGAAATAAAGCTGAAATAACACACACACACACACACATACTATTATAATATATATAATGTTGCCTTGACAATCAGTTAAAGCTCTAAATTACTAACTGGAAATAAATAAACTAAAGCTGAACAAAAAAACTGGTTAAAAAAGACAAAGCACAAAATGACTAAAAATCAAATCAAAATAGGCTTTCAATTAAAACTATAGTGTATAAATGATACTAAAACACTGATTTACAGTAATTGTCATAATCTGTTCATTTCAATTGACAGCCTGTGCGTAGAGGCGTGTCGACATAAAAAGCGTCATTGTTTTCATTGGTTGCTTGCACTTGAAGGCGTGGCTTATGTAGCTTGTTGATAAAGAGGACTGAGCGCACATTTATTCAGGCTTTACGGCGACTGTGTCTGTTAGAGACTCATATACAAACCTGTTATTCAAGTAAACCGAATCAACAGTGTTTCAACGTTTCTTGCACTGCAGTAGTGAAATTTATATTTTCATCTTCAACGTGCAAAACAATCCTTTGCACTCGTATTCCTCTGAAGAGCATTAAATCCCGGACTCAATGGATTTTCTGTGTCTGGTGTGTGTTGCGGTGAGCGTCAGCGCCTGGTACGCGTCTGCCGAGCGACACAGTGTTTACTGGAACAGCTCGAACGCAAAGTAAGTATTTTACTGCATGCTCCTTTATTTGTGTGAAACCTCTCCGCTGTTTTCCACCTTTATGTAAATAATTTTTTCCCCTTTATATGATGTTGTTCTTGTTAGTATTCTTCTGTGATATCTGAAATCTCTGTATAGCTTAGCTATCACAAGTTGTAAAAGCTTGGAGCCTATGTAAACTATAGCCATAAAGTACGCCGTATTATTAAATGAATTATATATATGTATATATATATATATATATATATATATATATATATATATATATATATATATATATATATATATATATATGGCTATATGTAGGCTACTTAACAGTAGTTTCACAAACCGTTAGCGGCATCTTATCTGGTGTGTTTTGTTGCAGTTTCTCGTTATTTGCTCCAACTGTTTTCATTCTGTGTTTAGATTAATGAAACGCATAACTCTTTTAACCCTGTCTGGCTGGCTTGCAAGTTATGTTAGTTCAAGTTGTTTACGCTTTCAGGTTAGTTATCACACACTTCATTGCTTTGATTATTATCTCTGCCTCTAGTCTCTAACAACCTTTAACATGCGTTAGTGAATGACATGATAATTACTGTATAAGAGACAGCAGCTGGGCAGAGAAGTACATGGAAAGAAACCAGACAGATGGACAGACAGATCAGCCTAAATATACATGCACACATGTTAGTTTTACTATTTGTGTGGGCATTTTATTGACAGGGTGTCCTACTAGATGATATTTACCATACTTTATCCCTCACACAAACCTGTAGATGTACAGCAAAAAAAAATTTGTTGTTGTTGTAAATCTAGCCAAATTTGTACAGATACACAAACCATTAAATAAACAGACATGAGCACACTGGACTAATATATCTAGTAGCTTGCACTTTTTATGAGAGGTATCTTGTTACTCTTAGTATGGTATTAATATGTTACTGTTACAGATTACACCGTTACAGCACTTTGATGTGTGTTTCATCAAATGATTGCATTTGTAATCTCTCCTCGTAGTGAAGAAGGACAGGTCATCAGGCACTTTCCAGAGATACGAATGACGACAATCAGAGCGATTTATTAGGCTTTTAGCAAGAAACTCAAGAACAAGAAAATGGGTTTTTGTGAAGAAAATCAGAAGCTTGTAGGCCATAAAACAGAACCTTTGACCGCATGTGCTGGCATCTTTTTTCCCGCTTCTCATTAACTTTGACTTGTTTCACCTGGATTTTTCACGTACACCATGATAAGCCTGTTGTCATAAAAGTTAACTGGTGATAACAGAACTGAATCCGTGCTCATGGTCATGATCCGATTGGAAGTTTTCATGATGTCACAGGTGATTCACACCGACTGTTGTGATTCAGTCGGCTTTCAGTGAGCAATTTATCAATGTCGTAGTTGCGCAACATGAGTGTACCAGCCTTAACCAGACACAGTCTCAGAAGAGCCTGGCTCAATATCAGCCAGCAGAGAGAGGTCGAGAGAGAAGCAGCAGCTGTTCCTGAACACAGACAGAAGGAGGGATAGCTTCAAGAAATCATGTAATAGAGACCAAACTCTTTTTAGGACCTGCTGTGAAAAGAATAAGGTGGAAGAGACAGGGATGGAGTAATAGGAGCTGCTTGGATCTGGGTATAAAAAAGAAGTATTGGTAATTTGAGTCAGACTTCTATGGAGATGGAGAAAAAGAGGTGGGGGGGATTATGTGGCAGCAGTCTGGTGCGTTGTCCGGTCCCTAATCCCGACATGGACCACATCCACGGAAAGGGTTGCGTAAGCACAACAAGAAAATTTGTAATAACGAAACGCTAAGCCCTCAGAAAATCTCTACATTAAAAATCTGTGCGGATCTCTACTTTTAAAGCTCTCATTCTTGCACACATACACAGAGACCATGGCAATGTCACTCTATTAACATTGAAAAATGTTAGAAACAAACACCCACACATCAAAACTGGAATTGTAAATATAATCCCTTCTTGAGCTAGTCATAATCTGGCAGGTGTGGTGGGAACTGTGTTTTCACTACATCTTTCTCCAAGTTAAATCTTTCTCATTAATCTTACATTCTAAGAAAAAAGAAACAACTGCCATTTTATCAGGTTTTCGGGTTTTCCTTTTGCTTTTCTTTCCTTTTAACGACTTCCATCAAAGCCAGTGATTGTTCAATCAGTCTGTGAAACTCAATCAGTTAGTATGCAAGTGCACTAGTCAGGCTAATCAATGCCAGATAGGTGTTAAATATTAATTGGCGTGATCATCTAGTTCTGCCTGTTGCGTAAAAGCGTTTGTATACGCAAACAAACACAAACACACAATGTTTTTGCTGAATGGGTGTGAGTGAACAGTAATGATTTAATCTTCTGCACGTGGCCTTTGGCGAGCTGATTCTCTGGTTTGACGGGTATGTGCGTGAGTCTGCGCCCCGAAGAGACTGGATTTTCAGGTCCGGATTGACATATGGACGTTGTTTTCGACAGTCTGTTTTTGTGCTCGACGCATGCCTACGCTTGCATGCTGAGTGTGCCGAAGGGGAAGTGTACAGTCTCGTCATGTTAGCATCATCAAATCATTACTCTCGACCTGAATCATGTGTTTATTTTCGCATATGTGTTGTCATATGCATTTGTGATCCCTCGTCAAAGTTTTGCTGGCTCGCATGCAGGGGGAATGTGCGATTAGGGTATATTTAGTAGACTGGGATTCCTTCCAACAAACATGTTGCTATACTTGACCTTTCAGCTGTCCACTCATTGTCCACTCCATTTCCTCTTTGTCCATCCCTTCCTCGCCAGATTCACTTTGTTTGATCTTTTACTTGTATCTGAGCATTTAGTGCTGTGTTGTCTTGAGGAGGAGGAGGGGAGCAGACAGATCAGCATTCATATCCAGACAGATTCCACAGACAGGCTGTAAATCTATCTTCTTTACACACACACACACACACACACCTGTTTTTTGTTTCTGGCTCAGATGCACGCAAAAACAGCCGGCTATGTAGGCAGGTCTGTAATCTGTAAAACGGACGGTTCAGCCTCAGATTATACGTAGATGTGTGTAATCTGGCTGAATGACCTATTCACTCAAAAATCACTGTATATAGGCTATTTATAGACCGTGTAATCCAGTGCTGTATAATCCCGATTTACACAGAAATGGATGTGTATGGAAAATATAATCCATAATTCCACAACGCATTATAGAATGTCCATCAACGGGGTTGATTGATTACGAAACCGTAGATCTGTTGTGTTTTTCCACAGATTAGAGTTCCATTTTAGGGTTTCAACTGGTTAAGTAATGATCAGCGGAAATAATCTGATGTCCCAGTTAAAGTTTTTATGTATATAAATGACCCTGGGCCTGTTTTTACATTTCTTGCTGGGTTTTCCACTCATTTGAACCCTTTTAAAGCCCCTTATTCTGATCTCTTCCTCTCTTCTCCTTATCTCCAGCCCAGACTTCCTTACTATTTCTCTTTATATGTCCTTATACCCTCCCTGCTCCATCTTTCCATCCACTTTTTTCCCACACATCCCCCATTGTCTATCTTGTTCAGTCCCTGATTACTATTTTGATTCTCACTGCTCTGTTGAGTTGGAGTTTTCCTGTTTTTCTGTCTGTAGTGTGCTAGATTGTGTAATTGTCGGTGTAGTAAAGTGTGTGACCTCACAAATGTAAACAAAAGAACCAGAAACTTGTTTCCTGGTGTTACTTATTTACTTCAAATCAAGCGTTTGCCTTCAGCGTCTTCAGCAGCTCACTGTCGCCACCTACAGAATGCTTACATCACTTTGATGATCATTTTTATTTCTCTCAGTGACTATATTGCTTTCAGTTTATTATTTCACAGGTACTTTTTTGTGATAAAGGTGCTGACTTTGAATAAAACTCACAGTATGCTACCAAACAACAAGCTAGTGTATCAACAGGCAATTAGCATCCATTTAAAAGTGAAAGACAAAGGGAGGAGGGGGAAATGCAGGCTTTTGTAAGGAACGGACTGAGAAAGATAGGACGGGGGATGGGTGACGGGTTAGAGGTCAGATAGAAAGAAAGGAATGTTTCTCCAAAAAATTAGCCTGAATGAAGAGGCCCAGGTTTATAATGTGATTTTAAACAGAATGGGAAAATAAAGAGGGTGGAGAAGATGGGGGGGGGGGGGGGGGGGGGGGGGGGGTGGGTGGAAGATAGAAAGATATATACGGTATATAATATAAACAGATAGGGGTGGAGCAAAAGGACAGTGATGGATAGGGTGAAATTTTGGTTGTCTGCTCTAAACTCACACAGAATTTCACTGAAATAGCCTCATATCCGTATAATCACACAACCTCCAGAAGTGGTACCGGAGTGGCATGATACTGAAGTAAAATGTGAAAAATGGAAAAGGTACTGGTAATGTGGACGTTATCTGTTAAGTTTACAGACATTTACTTTAACCCTAAAACACAACACAAAGCAGAACATAATTCAAAATATAGGTAAAACACCTGTGATAAAACAGTATGGACAATTCCTTCATATTAACACAATAAAATGGACCCTTAAGACTAGAGTGTATGTGAGACCATCGTTATTCTCTGTTGACCTAAAACTTTATTTTTTCATAACTCTAAGTATTAAAACATTGTAAGCTCAAGACTTTGTCATATGCATATCATGATTTGCACATTTGCGATATATCATTAAAAATGTTGTGTAGTCCTACCCCCACTCCATCTTGACTTGTAACATGTATCTGTAACCCCCCACCCCCACTTTAACCCCCGCAAACGGGCCGTATTGGATAAGTCTGGTGCTGGTGAATAGCAGCGGTGTGATCCGTGTGCTCAGTGTGATAATCCCTGGTTTGGAAGAGCGGATTAGCTGGCTGGCATTCCGACCCGTTCCGCTACGGCTGGGGTAATTACCAGCATGTAATCGACGAGAAGGACAATACGAGAACATACTGCTCGGAAAGAAAGTGAGAGAGCGGTGAGGTTAAAATGACTTAGTGGTGACTTAGCACCTTGAACCTGTCAGACTTTAACGGGACGGAGGCGTAAGACTGAGACGTATTATACTTGTAGTGGAGAAAGAGAGCCAGACAGACAAAAATAGCGTGAAAGCTTCGTGCACGCGCTTGAACAGACAGGTTTTATTACTTGATAGTGTGACAACAAGCCACTAAAATAGGATCATAATACTTGTCATGACAAGCAGCAGGTTTTCAGTAACCAAGCCCTCCGTTTGTGTGTTTGTGTGTGTGTGTCTGTCAACTGCTGACAGCGAGCATAGTGCAGTTGGCAGTGAGTACATCTGCTCTGAAGCACACAGCTCCGTCTCTTAGTGTGTGTGTGTGTCCTGCTGACTGTGTAAGGGTGTGTCTGAAAAATATGACCCTGAACTTTGACATTACTGACCCGCCTGACAGCTTGAAACATTCAGCCAAAAGTGAAAGAGGGAGAGTGCAGACAAACTATTGAGGGGAAAGGGGACAAACACGTATCTGAAAGCAAGTTAAGCTTTAGTTTTACATATAAAGTAGTTTTTTGTGTATTTGAAAGTCTATTATGCTCACCATGGCTGCATTTATTTGACCACAAATACAGTAAAACAGCTGTTGTGAGTTATTACAATTTAACATAACTGTTTTCTATTTTAATATATTTTCAGCATCATTACTCCAGTCTTCAGTGTCACATGATCCTTCAGAAATCATTCTAATGCGGATTTGGTGAACAAGAAAATGTTCTTATTATTATCAATATTGGAAACAGTTGTGCTGCTTAATATTTTTGTGGAACTCGTGCATTTTCACAGGATTCTTTTAATATGAAGTTCAAAAGAACATAATTTATTTTAAAGTGAAACATATTTTTTTTGTGTAATAGTGTAAAAGTCTTTACTGTTTTTTTTTAAAGACTGACACTTGCATAAGATGAAGACTCCAGTCATATTAGTAGCCTAAAATTGCTCTACATAGTGGAGGTCGGCTCATTCGACCAACCTAATTAGTCTGTGTAAACAAATTACTGAGTGCAACTTTAAACTCAAACTCTTTAAGCCCACACGCAAACATTTAAAACACAGGCTCCTCTGTGTCTTGTGATAAACAGATGAGTGATGTGGCCCCCAGGGGCCGCAGGTACAGACACTCCCCTGAAATGTGCGCTGTTTAAATGCCCCTTTTACAACAGCGTCACTCTCACGCTCGGCCCATCACAGAGCCAAGTGTCACACAGGACGGGAAACAGTGGCCACTGCAGCGTTTGAAGTGACCGCTCACCAGGAGGATAAGCACAACAGAGCTGCTCTGGGATTGTTTGAGCTATCGGCGGCTGGCCTTGGATCAGCTCAGAGAGATTAGACAGGCATGGGAATCATAGTGTGAGGGCCCACCAGACCCTTTCAGTATTTAATTAAACTCAGAGATGCACAGATAATCCAATTATATTCTTATAAATGGCCAATTAATGTTCTATACTATTTTGTCAAAATAAATAAAAAATAAAACACTACAAACTAAAGTAATTGTAAGTGCTATAAGAGTATTTTGACATTACAGCATTATAATGTACAGAATAAAAAATTAATTTGATTGATTGATGATTATTATTATATTTTAAGAAAATATATGGCATCACAACATGATGTACAGTATATAAAATTAGCTGAATTTGTTATATATTACATTTAACCTTTCTATTAATAATTGTCATAATAGAATTTAACAATATAATAGATCTAATGTTTAGTAATAAAATAATTTACCCCATACATAAATATAATGATGTTTCATGACATTCATCGGGAATATTTATGTATATTAGTCAATATAATAATGTTTTATATTAGCCAATAACCGATATGGTACCAATGTATTGTGCATCTCAAGGCAAACACCTTGGTGACCCCCCAAAAAAAAGAGATTAGACCCGTGCCTTAGGCTGATGTATGGGGGATGAGTTAATGACACCCAATTTGTGGTGTTGTCTTGATCTTGGCACCAGGTTTCAAACAGCTCCAGATCAGCTGCTTCAAAGGGACCTCAGAGGAAGTGAGACGGGCCAATCAACCACACAGTCGAGTTCCCAAGAAAAACTAAAACCGCCGAAACCGTTCACACTGATTTCTGTTTTGGAATCACTTTGACCATTTAGCATCTCATCCACCCTTACTTGGTCTCATCAGCTCTGATGTGTTGATTGGCATATTGAATACACATAAAAAAACACTGCTTTCCCACACACAGAAAAGTCAGCTGGCTTAGCAAGCCGTACACCCTGTCTTTTGAACACACTGCTGATTAGAAGCCGTGCGAGACTGACTCTAATCTCTGCATTAAGCGGGGCTAATGAGCGCAGTGATGTGTATGTTTACCCCCCGTCTGAATAGACCGCTGGGTTGTTTAGACAGGTCGGCTAATGCTTACTGCAGAGGCACAGTGGGAAAGAGACCGAGATGAAGGGGGTTGAAGTGGACAACAGGGGGCCCGTCAGGAGCCTGTGTGTCTGTCCGTCATTTAACCACGGCTCCTGATGGCAACAACAACAAATACATGTGCCAAAAGGGAGAAAGTAAGTTTTGATGGCGGTTCACGTGAGGGCCGTGTGAGTAAATGTTATGGTAATGTGATTGGGTTTGATGATATTGGGTATATGGAAATGTGATGTCGTATAATTTATAACAGTCACAAAGCTAATCAGCCAATCAGATACTTTATGTGGTTTGAACAGGGGCATTGTATGGTCAAAGCGGGGATGAGTGTATTCAGGAAAAACCGTTGTGATTTATTCAGATATGTTGCGTTATTCAGAAATGTGAGACAAAATTCACAATAATAAATCACTGACAACATGAAAGCAAAGACACAGAAAGCACAACATACTGAAAGGCCTGTGGATTTGTCATTTGTACATCTGGTAACAGCAGCAGGGAAGCTCAGATCAGACGAAAATGAGAAAAGCAAATGAGACGACAATAAAAGGAGAGACAGACAGAGAGGAGGCTGTGAAAACATGTAGAGCCAATTCAAAGAGTCAGTCAGTCTAAGCGGCTCCATATCTGTTACCAAGAGAACAAGGAAGAGGTGATGATCACACAAAGTCAAAAGTTGTAACAAAAAGTATTTTAGGGCTGTCAAAGTAAACATGTTAACATAAAATATGTAAAAAAAAAAAAAAATATATATATATATATATATATAATATATAATAACCCCCTATATGGGGTTCCCCTCAATAAAAATGGGAGATTCAAGTTTATTCTAAAAGTGAAATCAGTGAGCAGAATTCTTTAAAAAAAAACAAAGCAAAATGCTTCTGGAAATCAAGTAAGACAAATGGATTAAAAGTAAATCTTTTCATAGAGGACTTTAAGAAAAACACAGTTGAACAATTTCCCTAAACACTCCTTCACCCAACGTGACACAAAAATGCAGAGTAGAAAGAAAAGAAAAAGAAAAGAGGGATTGTACAGGGTGTTTCACCCAAATAAAAGCAGCAGGTGAAGGGTGAACACACTTCACTCACACACGTGCATCAGGGTGTAGCTCTCGCTTTTGCTTTGCACTGATGACGCTTGCCTGGGGCCGTTTCGTGTCACTGTTTCTGTTTGTTTGTGAACATCAAGTTTCTTTTTTGAGCCATTTTATTCCTGAGGTGTGTCTGTGTTTTGAAGGTTGACAGCCATTCATGGATTTTTTTATTATGTCTTCCAGCTTCCTATGGGATGATTACACCGTGGATGTTCGCATTAATGACTACCTAGACATCATCTGCCCTCACTACGCACGGGGCGAGATCCCATCCCAGGAGGCTGAGCGGTACGTGCTCTATATGGTGGAGCTGGAGGACTATGAGAACTGCAAGCCGCAGTCCTTCGACCAGCTGCGCTGGGAGTGTTCCAGACCTTTCGCTCCTCACGCTCCAGAGAAGTTCTCGGAGAAGTTCCAGCGCTTCACTCCCTTCACTCTGGGCAAGGAGTTCCGCCAGGGAGAGAGTTACTACTATATTTGTAAGTATCCACGTCTGTATTTGTGAGAGTATGCAAAACTAAAAATGTGAAGTTTGTGTGTTAAAATTAAACATTAAAAATGTTGTGTGTATCAACCCATACAAAGTTCATGTTGTGTGACCAACAAGTCGGAAGAAAAAAAATACATAATGTGCTGAAAAAAAAAAAAACAGGAAAACCCCTGAAGACCTTCATCATCATGTCATGTGGTGTGACTCCCCAAAAACTAAAAGATATTTATGCATTAATAATTCAGGATATTTGGGAAACAATATTTGTAACCTTTTAAAAGCATATTTAAATTATTCAATTTAATTCCTTCAATTTTTGAAAATATTATATGTACACTTACACCATATGCCATTAAATTTAAACTTTACATTGAAAATGAATTTCAAAACCTTATGAAACCAACGTAAATACAAAATGAACGTTTTAGCATTTAATAACACATTGAATTATTTACAAATATAGTACTACAGATTCCAATTCTAAATTTTCACTCTGTTTTCCACAGCCAAACCTCTTCACCATCATGGACAGGAGTGTTTGAGACTGAAGGTGGATGTTGTTGGACTTCATGGTAAGTCAAATCAGTTCTTCGCATTACCAACTAGACATTTCTGCTATCTTTACTAGATTACAAGGACAACCAAAGCCTTACTAACAGTCCAACTATATCATTTAATGTTCTAGGCTCCAAGAACAAGAAAAAGATAGTTGAGAAGGATGATGAAATGGAAGTAAATGCTGCTGGAGGAGTACATAACCCATCAAACAGGCTTCCAGCAGGTGAGAACTTCTTTTCCTCGCTTTTGGCAGCGTGTCCATTTGCTTTAGAAAAAGATGTGGAATTTTTTTACTTTTCAAGCCGAGGTGTTAGAGTGACTTTACGCAAGTTACACGGTCACGAAATGTACTCATCGTGCTTCTCCTCTACTTTCAGATGACCCTATTGCCATGATCCCAGTTGTGCAGAGGAGCGTGGGCAGTTCGGGTGTTCGTGTGTCTCCCGTCTCAAGTTTCGTCACGTTGATCTCTATACTCATCTTTCTGCTCCTCCACTGAGCCTGCCTGATATAAGAAGATTTTATGGACGCTGGTCCGTTAGGACACAACAGACTTTAATGCCGGTGCTGGTTACCGGCTCTGAAAATAGATTTTCTATGAAGAATTTTTATACAAACTGAAGTTTTGGTGCTGGTGTGCAAGTTTCTGAGTGACGTGTTTGTATTTGTGTTCGTGAGAGTGATGTGACCAGAGAAAGGTGTTTTTGAAGAACCTTCTCTCTTTTTTATGAGTATTTACCGTTCTATAATTCTGTTTTCCATCAGCTCTTTTTATTTTACATTTGTAGACCGTATGTGCTCATTTTTCCTGAAAATTCTTCACAAATCTATTTACCAATGTGATTCAGAACAAACCTTAAAGTCCGGAGAGCTTGTCTTGTAACCATCAGCTGTAGAACTGGAATTGTGATCACAAGGGAGAACAATAGGCTAGATATTGTGTTTGATAGAGACCTTTGCTCTACTGTACTGATTTGAGCCAAAGATCACAGGATTTATCTTAAAGCTGACCCTGACCTTGCACCTTATAAAGAATTGATGTTTGTGCATAAAACAGTGTTTGTAAATCTAGAACAGCTATCGAACAGTTTCCTGTGTTTTGGATCTCGTGTTGCTGTAGTTTCAGTTGGTTTCTGTGATGTAATGTGAACACACCCTACACAATGTACTAGAATTATGTTATAAATGAGATCAGATTTGTTTTCTTTCATAACACAACATTTGGTTTTGAACAGGAATGATCAAGTTGTGCTGTTTGTGAGTGAGCGAGAGAGAGAGAGAGTGAGAGAGAGAGAAGCTGGCCTTCTGACAGAGAGCATGACATGCACAAACAATTTAAAACGGTTCAAAGAATTCTTTCAAATAAGTTAAAAAAACTATTTCTTTTGTAAAAAGTTATTTTGTACTGTATTGGTTTATAAACTTGTAAATAGTTGTGTAAAAATGTACATATTAAGAGTTATATAAAATAAAGACATTTGTTAATTATGAAATTGTGTGGAATTTTTTTTTAATAAATATTGTTCAATTGATTCAAAGAAAACAAAGTTTTGGAGCAGCACAGACAGATTTTCTGTGCAATTTGAGGCCTCAGAGTAAAGTTTAACACTGTCAAAACACCACCATCAAACTTTCTTCCTGTCCTCTTTCATTCCCTTTTCATCTCTTCTTCTTGGCCAGGACTTCACAGCTTTTAACCAAACATTCAGATGCGGTTGAGATGAATGAAAGAAAAGTGGCACTTGGGTGCCAGGACGTAACTTTTCTTGGCAGGCTCAACTTTTCTTTTTCTTTTTTTTTGACATTTGAAAACATTAAACAAAATATACATTGGACTCGCTATGTAGGTCTTTCTCAGCTTTGGCCATTTTTGCACACCTGGACTTTTAGAAAACAATTTTTTATATTTCTGAGAGGATCATTTTGTCTTTGAAAATAAAATAATAATCTTCTTTGTCTTGTTTTGTATTACTCTTTGGTCTTTTTTCATAGTTTGCCTTTTATGTATTCTAAATACAATTAATAATTTCACACTTTTTGCACATTTTGACTATATTATATAATACATAAAAATATGCAAAAAAATATATTTAATTTATTCTATTTTATCTATGTCTCATTTAATCTCAAGCATGCTCTTTGCTGACAAAACATTTTCATAAGGGATGAAATTGTGATAGAAATCATTATTTAATTATTGAAAAAAATATATTAAATTAGTTTGTTTATGTTTAGATCACTTTGTATGGGCTATCATAAAGATGCAATAATTATATAGTTCCTATAATATTTTCTATAATTGTTTTCATGAATCACAGTTTAAGATCATTAAATGCAAAAATAAATTATGAAAGGGTGCATGGTTTCCAAGATAGTAGGCTATTGATACATTTAGAATGCAACAAAATGAAACCTTTGAAATCCGTTTTGATACAAATCAACCGACACTAAACGAGCTACAACATGCATGTATTCAGTGTAGTTAGGCCTAACACTTTTCGAAGCCCAGGAGTGCTGAAACTAATTTATTTCAGAAAGCGGTTGTGCTTTGGACAGAGCTCTATACCTCAAGGCAAGCGTGTATTTTTAAAAACGACAGCGTTTTAAATCTCAATATATTACAAACAATATAGGTGGCAACCATCTTAAAATTACGTTGGAATCACCTACGCCTCTTATTTCACTACACAACTGGACTCTGGAATTATGATTTGAAGCTATTTGCAAAATCTCTTCAATTGATGACAGACGAAAATGCCATGAAACTTTCTGCTTTGGGCTTTACCATCACCCTTACCTTTTTTGTGTGTGTGTGTGTGTGTGTGTTGTTCTGTTTTGTTTTTTCTTCCGAATTTTGTATCAACACGAAAAACATATGATCGTTGAAGTATGCCATAAATGTTTGTACTTGAATTATGTTTAATAATAATAAAAAATAAAATTAAAATAAACTACACAACCGGACTACAAAATGACGATACGAGCATCATTCTGTGAATAACCAATCAGAGTGAAGGAAGCTTTTCACACTGATTACAAACACGGAAACAGAGAAAGTGGACGTCAGCGTTGCATTAGTGCTGGATTCATAGGTTTTGTAAATATTATTTATTTGCTTGATAGCACAGGGGTACAGAAGCACAGCTCAATTTTCGATTTTTCAGTCTATGGATTTTCTGCAGCTGCTATCATGTGCGTGCATCATATTCACCGTCGGGATGTTCACGACGGGATTGTAAGTTAAGTTACTTCAATTTCTACTACTTGATATGATTAAGTTAATCATATTTGACAGTTACCATGTAGCTGAGCAAAAATGTGCACCCATACAGATTTAATAATGTTATAGTGGCATTCCGTGCCTTCCTTGAGTTATCAGTAAATTACTTAAAATACTTTGAATAAACAAAGTTCTAACGTTATATTAAATTTTTATTTATCAACTGTATGGTTGCAACTATAATGTTGTTGCGCCTAAGAGAGGCTGCCTTCACTCAAATTCAAGAAACGCCCTCAAAGATTTCTGCGAACATAAGCTAAGTTACTATAATTATTGGTACAACAGCAAACCTAGTAGTAATTAGCCAACACTGTTAGCAAGAAGAGCTGCACAATATTAAGATTTTACAATATTAACAATAACTAGTATTTTGCCTGAAACTATAGTGCATTTTTTACATCTTTATTGTGTATATGTTTGTAATTTGAGCATATAACGTTAAACATTTGCTGTGCGGGGCAAATTAATTTCACTATCTGTATAAATTGACAGTGCAAAATATGAAGCATTTGAATTGCATTTGCATATCCTGTTGTATCTGCTATGCCAGTAAGTTATGCTATCTTCCAAGAAAATATTAATCACATACCATTTCTGTGTTTGCAGGACAGACTTAAAGAAAATGAAAGCCACGCAGTGTTCAGATAACGTTCAGTTTCTGCCCTTCCTTACCACATGCTTAAAGTATGTATTTGCTATTTGACACCTGCAGTTCTTGCTAGTTATTGCATACAACTTCATGTATGCAATGGTCATCATGCATTGAAATCCATAAGCAAGTCCATTCAGTCTGAATGATCATTTTGTGTATGTGTTTAGTAATCTAGGTTGGCTTTACTATGGATTACTGAAGGGAGATGGAACGGTGATTATTGTAAACGTCATTGGGGCATCTTTACAGACCTTATACATCATCACCTACTGTCATTATACCAAAGAGAAGGTTTGTCATTTAGTCATTGTCATGGATTTTACAATGGGGTCCAGAATTTAAGACCTCTAGCTTCTTTTTTGCTTTTTTTCTAATTTAATACAATATTTTAATTACAAATTAAATTACCAGCATAACAGTTTGATTAAAAAGGTGAAAAGAAAAAAAATAAATGCAATATTTTTATCGTCTATTACATTAGCAGAATAACGGTTTGACTTTATTTTAATATTTTTAATTGCACACGATATCGTCAACTTAACAACTTGAGTGCAAAGTTTAATTTAAAAGTTAATTCAGTATTTTTAAGTACAAGTTATGTTATTAGAATACCAATCTGTTAAAAATTTAAAAAGTCAAATTTGATAAAAGTGAATAAAATATTTTAATTACAGGTTACATTATCAGCCTAACAATTATGTAAAGTATCTTCATAGTTTATTTTCAGGTTTAAAATGGAATTTGGATCCCAGCTTTTTTAACATACAACAAATATGATGAATATTTTTCAAAGGTATGCTGTACCTGTGTGTGTTTCAGAGGCGAGTGTTCTCACAGACGCTGGTGATGGTGATTGTGCTGTGTGTGGGCTGGGTGTATTTTACTATGGTGATTCCTCCTGGAGAAGCTCAACTCTCTCAGCTGGGCCTCGCTTGCAGTGTGTTCACCATCAGCATGTACCTCTCTCCGCTCACTGATCTTGTGAGTACACACACACAGGGCCGTCGCTAGTGGGGTGAAAGGTGGTGACAATTATAGGGGCCCCCGCTGCCCAGGGGGCCCCACAAAATCCAGCAGTTATACTATTTAGGCCCCTGTAGTATGAATAATTCTAATATTTATATTAGTTGTATGCCTGAGATTTAAATGAAAACCACAAAAACGTGCAATTTGGGTAAATATTTTTCCAAATATCTGCTTCTCTTACCTCCATAAAAATGGTTTAGTCCGACCTAAAGTATGTATTAATTATTCAGTCAGAGTCAGTGACAAACATCAGATGGACCCAATAAAATTGTAAGTCCCGCCCCAGCTCGTGAACAGAACCAATTAGAGTTGAGGCGGCAGCCTGAAGTTAACGATGAACTTGGTGAAAGAGCAGGAGACTAACTGACTGAAAAATGTCGGGGAAAAGAAAACAAATCAGGGAACCAGAAATGCCAGGAAAAGACGGAGAGAGAGGCAAGGAGAGTGGTTGTATCCCAGTCGATCAAGACGTTCTTAAAGACCGGTTATATATTGTTATTTCGCTGGGAATTAGAAAACTTCCGTCTACAGTCTGCCGTGTACAGGCATTTTTTATTATCGGTGCGCGCCACAATCGACCGAATGATTACGTGGTCTAAATTCCTGTCTTTTTACAGTATTGTAACTAGAGTTTAAAAAAAAATTACACGAGTCACGACGCATTGCATTATGCATCTGACCTGCCGGCTGATGATATTTAAAACATCGAGAAAACACGAATACAACACACTGCACTTGGATGAATAAATGTATTCGCTTTATTTAATAATATTACCAGTTCCATATTATCTTTATTAAAAAATAAGACAATGAATGCTTTTATTTTTTTAATTAGACTGCATTCTTGTCAATTTTTTAAATGTTTACTTTTTGATTTATGAATTATAACAGACTGATGGGGAAAAAAATGTATTACTTTTTAAAAATTGGTTTTATTATTATTTAACAATTTCTTGCTTTTTTATTAGTTGTAATTTTTATATAAACATTTAACTTTTAAAATAAAGGTTTTACAACAACATCACCATCTTCTGTTATGTGGGCCTCCATGTTCATCTATTGTACAGTATATGATATTGGTGGAGGGTGGTGGGGGCCCACATCAATATTTTTTCAGGGGGCCCCGAATCCTCTAGCTACGGCCCTGCACACACACACACACACCTATGCCTATAACCAGCATTAATCATGTTTAAACCACAGTCAGCATGTACCTGCATGTATTTAAAGATAGGGTAGGCAATGTTTTTTATATATACGCTTTTTATTAAACTGGTTGAAACCTTCTTCACATCCTGATAGCAATCAATAATAGAAGTCGTCTAAATATTAAAAAAATGTACATATATCTTCTGAGGAAGTCTCAGGACCAAAACATGTTCGTCCAATCATTGCATTCGGTCTGAATGCAATAATAGGATGTCCTACCTGTTTGTCAATGTATGTATTTACTGTATTTACAATGTATGTACTGACTATACTTTATTCTTTACATAAAACTTTAGACATAATCTTGGATTTACACATGAAACGGTACGTAGTGCAGTGGTACAGAAGTCAGAGCCAAAGAGACATTCAGGGCAAAACAGTGCAAACAGGGACAGTGCAAGATGAAAGATAAAAAAATCTAAAATGTCCAGTGCACATAGAAATACATTGCCGTAATACACATAAAGATGAAAAGAACATATTTAGAAGTCTAATAGCCTATTACCAGGACTGTCAATGACGCACATGACATAGTAAATGACAGATTCAATTTATGTCAATCTTTACTTATGTACAGTGTTACGTAAGTTTTATGTAAATGTTTTACTTAAAGCTGCAGTCTGGCGTTTTTCCTCTTTGTCGCCATCTCTGTTTGAAATCTGCAATTGCAGTCATTCGCGGAATTATCAACTTTACGTGAGTTGTACTTCAACACCCTTGACACGGCACAGCGCGGATGAACACCAGGGTTTCCGTTGTCCGGTAATTACCGGACATTGGCCGAGAAAAAAATGAAATGTCCGACAAAATTAAATCTCTCCGGTCAAATTGTCAGATAAAAATTGCGTAATAATCCCACCCCCCTAACACAATATGAATTTGAGAATAAGCCTAAAATGTATAAAAGAAAAAGACACCGACCTTTGGCTATGTTACAAAGGACACGTTTGTGTATATTTATTTTGTGATTTCACCGGAATGAACAGAGAGTCTCTGCAACGGCGATAGATTGAAACTCGCGTCCGAGTGAAGATTGCGCAACTCGCGCAGCGCGTCGTCCATGCAACTGATAGCAGCGGACACGAGCGCTCAGCTTGATTTAAAAAACAACTGATTTTAGCACTAGATCTCTTATTTAATAGTGAACTAAATGGATGATCTGCTAGTTAACTGAAAATGTTTTATTTATTTGTATTAGGCACATCCGTGCCTCAATGTTTCAAAAAGTGAACGTGTGTGAAACCATAGTAAAAAACAATTGGTGTTGATTGACGCCAATCGGACGTTCATGGTTTTTTTCCCGTCTATTTGAAAGTTAGGCTAATAATAACGTTGCATTCTATACGGCCTGATAATGTCATTTTTTAAGTTACATAGCCTGCCTCCAGTTTTCCTCAACTTGACTAATTAAGAGGTGATATTTGACCGGCATATCATCAAAATGTCCGTAAAACGAAACCTCTGCCGGTCACTTTGACTGGCACTATTTTTTTCTAGCGGAAACTGATGAACACAATGTTTGAGGAGACTGTGAGGCTGTCAGTCACCGCGCCGATGTGGATACTGTCATTCAGAATCACAGATTATTCTTTTTGGAAGTATGACCAACATAAGAATTTTCACCGGAAAATGTCCTCTGAACTAGTAAGAAACATCCACTTTTGTTCTGGTTCTGACATTGCAGTAAATCGCGCTGATTAAATCTAACAATCGCTTATAAGTTATCATATCACGCAAAACCGTGCAAATTATACTTTGTTCTCAAATTGTTAATGTTAACAATGTCAGCATTGCGTGACTACATGTAATGTCCTTCCGATATTATCCTTGTTTTCGCATGGGTCCGGTTGCAGTCTCTTTTTTTCTGTAGCCACTCTGAAGTCCGAACGAAGTCTTTTGCATTTTACAGCGGGTGCATCTCTAGTTGTCACTGGTTATTGTCGTTTGAAGCTTTCTGGATCCGCCATCAAATTGATAAGTTTAATTATATCAAGTGCTGTGAGAAAAGGCTATAAATCTCCACCTCCAACATCCTCACCCGCAATATAGCCTACTAGCCGAGACTCCTTCTTTATGTGTACAGATGTGACGTAATGACGCAAAGACATGCTCGAATCTCCCGCGGAAATCCACCAGTACCACTGGAATTAAAAACATTATTACAAGCTTATCGTTTTGAATCGAGCTAAGGCAAACAGTTTTGAACACTGGCTGGTTATGCATTTTCTCAAATATGTATTTTGGATAATTTTTAACCCCAAAAAAGCTACGGACTGCAGCTTTAAATAAACAAGATAACAAAAATAAAAACATAATATGTGATAAAATAACAAAAAGACTGATAATGAAGAATAAGTCTGTGAAAAAATAAAGCCTGAGAAAAATCAGGAATACCACCACAAAAAATGAAAGGAATGACAGGAATAAAAATTACAGGAATACCACCACATAATACAACTTTTTTTTAACTGTGTATTATTGAACTTTTTTTAATCAAAACACTGTTACATAACATTTACTTATAATATTAATAATGAAAAGTAAAAAAAAAACAAAAAAACAACAACAATTAAACTAAATACAAAAGTCCCTGACAGCACTTCATTAAATAAATACACCACATACCAGTACATTATCTTCCCTCAAGCAAATATGTTTCAATAAGTGCCCACTTCTGTCGAAAAAGGTCTGATTACAACTGCAAATCTGCTGTCATTTTCTCAAAAAAATATATATCTGTATCAGTCTTTGTGTCCATTCTGTCACAGTGGGTGCATGGACCTTCATCCAGTTCACAGTGATTATCTTCTTGGCTGCCATTAATAATATGTAATACAAATAAGTGGGATTTACTAAACTGATCCAAGGGCAAACCATCAGGCAAAAAAAATATTGGGTACATTGATATATCTCTTCCTAAAACTTTACTAATTTCCCTTTTAATCCCCGGCCAATACACTTATACTTTGGGACATTCCCAGAATATATGCACGTAGTCCCCCACCATCCCACAATCCCTCCAGCACTGTGATAATGGCGAATAATAAAACATTTAAACTTATTTAATTGCATGCATCAACAAATATTACATATTAAAAGTTAAACGTTATTGCATACATTTATGCTATCTGTGACACCATTAAATATTGCATAAAGCATACATCAACTCTAAAATAATTGTACATTTGTCCTTATCTTGTTTTTCGGTAACATTGCAGCATTCCACCTTTTGTTTATCACTCCATCCATCCTTCTTTTCTGCGCCCTCTCGCAGTCTCCATCTTCCTGTTTTGGATCTTTCCCTCTTCCATATTTATCAGTCCAGCTCTGTCTATCTGTCCGTTGCCCTGTGGTGTATTTCCTGTCATTCTCGTACCCCCTTTTGTTGCTTCCTGTTTTTCCCTCAATCATTCCCTCCTGTCTGCGAGTGTCAATAGCAGCTTGTTATAGGAGAGACAATGCGTGACTGTAAATAACAAGTTCTGGTTGGAGCTGTGACGCAGTGGTGAGCACATGTGCTCCAGATTTACTGATCCTTGGTGCTGAAGTGGAAGACACCAGTTTGAGTCCTGCCTGCATCATGTTTCAATTCTCTGTACTTTCTATCAATAAAAAGTAGCAAAGCATCTTTCTCCTCTCTCAAATTAAAAAAAAAAAAATCATTTGTGTTCTTCATTTCCACTAGTTGGATATTGTGCGAACGAGGTCTGTGGAGCGCTTGTCTTTTTCCCTGACTGTCGCTACGTTCTTCACATCGACATCATGGACGCTGTATGGCCTTCAGCTCCAAGACTATTATATCATGGTAAGACGATGAAGAGACTGTCCTGGGACAGTGGTTTGAGGTGAAGGAAAAATTGTCATATTTTTTGTTTGTTTTTCAGGTACCCAACACCCCTGGTATCTTTACTAGCCTCATCCGCTTCTTCCTTTTCTGGTGGTTCGGAGCTGTCATTCCAAACAAGCCCTCCTATAAACTCATCCAAATCTGAGAGGGGATTTACATTGAATCTAATTAAGTGCCTTGGCCACTTTCTTCTTGGACCTTCTGAACTCAAACATCTAGTGAAACTGCCACTGTAAATTCTGTGAAGTCAGACTATTTTCACTTTATCTTTGTCTTTAATTAAAGGGATAGTTTACCCAAAAATGATATTGCTGGTACCATTTACTCTCATGTTGTTCCAAATCTTTCTTACATCAGTGGAACATAAACGAAGATATAGACATTGGAAGTCAATGGTAACCAAAACTGTTTGGCTACCAACATTCTTCAGAATTTATTCTTTTTTGTTCCACAGACGAAATAAAGTAATACAGGCTTGGAACAACATGAGGGTAAGTAAATGATGACGTGAACGATGAGATCTTAAATTTTTTTAAAATTAAATATAAAGTGAAATATCTCTTTAATTAAAGGAATGTTACTCCCCAACCCAAAACAAAAATCTGAATGTACCTATTATTCCAATCCTGTATCTCTTTATTTCTGCTCCCAAAAGAGGACAATGTTTTTCCCATGCAATTTCAAAGAATTGGGACTGGAGCTTTTAGTTTTTAAAAAGCACCATCTAAGGATCATACTATATATTAGTCATCATATCACACACTATGTTCCAGGTTTTCTGAAGCCATAAGTTTTGGGTGACATTACCTAAAAATATTGATCTTAGCTCTTTTTGGGACCTGTTTCTTGAACAGAGTGTTCTTTTGAGTGATCTTTTAATGAATCTAATGATTCGTCTGAATGAGTCATTCTCAAATATGATGGATCCGGTTCTTGAGCTCACTTGAGGAGAAGATTATCAGACTATCTTATGTCGTTTAGATCTATTTTATGATACTTTTATGGCTTGAAAGTTCCTGTACCTATTCTTTGTAGTTGGATGGAAAATAATCTCCTCAGAATTTCTTTGTGCTGCCTGGAAGAGTCCTCAGACTTTGAAAGAAAAGAAAGTCATACAGGTTTGGAACAACATGAAGATGAGTAAATAATGACAGACAGTACATTCATTTCTGGTACATTTTTAAATTCTCTGAGTGAAAATTTTCTCTTTTTTTTCTCTTGGTTGATCCTTATTGGGATGAGGATTCTCTGAGTTTGTTTGGCAGGTATTTCTTAGTTAATAAGTGTTGAAATCTGCAAACATGACACACCCCAAACCAAGAGCTCAAACATTTCCTGTTACAGCCCTTTCTTTTGAAACGATGTGTTAATATTAAGCAGGTGTCTTTTTTTTTTTATCTTGGGTAGGCTACATACATTTCCGAGTGGCCTTTAGGAAAGTGTCACATTCTAATACATGTAGTGTTTACAGAATCGCTCATTACTCATAGAGTACCTTATTATAATATCATTCTTAATTGTGTCCAAATGGCAGTTTGGCAGCTATTTAATTGCGTCCAACTCCAAATGAAACTTTATGTGTAGAAACAGAAAATTTGTTTGACTGAATGACGTTGGATTAAGAATATCTGTCTCTGAGATTACAGGAAATAGGAAATCTTGCACACATCTGTTCACAGTTCTTGTTTTGTAGTTGAAAGCTCTTTTTCTCTAATCGTTCTCACTGTCAGAACACCATATACTTTACAATAAGCCCTCAGAGAACACCAAAGTCGCACAAAATCTGATGGCTTTAATCATGTGAGTTGCGGTGACAGGCAGGATATGGAGAATAATAATTGTCAAATTCACTAAATTACATATTCATAACTCATAAAATGTTGAGATGAAAATCTTAAGCAGTCGTTGGCTGTTAATGTTGTTTTGCATATGGTAAACAGGTTTGATCTGTGATGGGCAATAACTGGTCTCTGGGTCGGTACTTCACAGAAGTCTTTTCAGGTCTCCAAGACTTGGCTTTGTGAATAAAAATGGTCATTATGTGGATTTTAAACTTTGTTTTATTGTTGTAATGTTTATGGCTTCTGTGTTGTATGATTATGTTTTGTGTTTTACATTAAGCTTAAATGTCTTTGTTTCTTTGTACTATTTTATATATGCAACGGTGTATATTATATCAGAGGAGATTTAGGGGGATGTTCTTTCTGGAGTTTCTGGGGGGAAAATGGTTCAAATAAATTTTTATATAACATAGCCTTCTATATTTGGCTGAGACTGAGAGAAGAAGTTATGAGAGCTTAGCAGGGGAATGTGAGAGGATTTTGGTCTGGTCTCAAAGAGGATCAGCACTGATTGTGAGCAATGAAAACTAAAATACACTGAAAAGCCGAGGCGTAACGCGTACTGACAGACATTTTAATTTCTGTGGGAAATAACAGCACTTTTATCTCCCGCTATTAGGTGTTTGGTTTTGTAGAGCTCTCTGTGTTTTTGCGTGTGTGTGTGTTGTTTGCTTGTTTGTAGTTTGCCTTGGTTAACATAAGCGAGTGGGAACCATGTGTTTGCTGTTTCTCAGTGCCTATGGAGTCTTTACATGTTTTTCCAGCCTGCCTCTCAGAGAAAGACATGAAAGGAAAAAGGATTGTGGCTGGTGATTGTTCATCAGGAGAGTGTGTTTTTGAAAGAATTAGTGATTGGCAAAACCTCTTTTGTGAGAGAAACAATGATGACTATGGAAGTCTCACGCATGAAGACAAAAGCACTTTTTAGTCTTCAGCCATGTTTGTCTAAATACTTTTTGTGTAAATGTTAACATGTAATAAGATTAGTGGTTCTCAAACCAAAATGGGTCACATGTCCATTCTGTGATAGTGACAGGGTCACAGACAGCAGGGAAAATGCAACAAACCATTTAATAATGCATAGTTTTGATTGTAAATATAAATAAGCTTGTCAAACTTCAGTACTGGTCAAAAGGTTTTTAATGTTTTTGAAAGTAGTCTCTTAATTTTACCAAAGGCTGCATTTATTTGATCAAATACAGTAAGAACAGTAATACTGTGAAATATTACAGTTTAAATTAACTGGTTTCTGTTGTAATATATGTAAAATGCCATTTATTCCTGTGATCAAAGCATGAATTTTCAGCATCATTACTCAAGTCTTCAGTGTCACATGATCCTTCAGAAATCATTCTAAGATAATTTCTTATTATCAATGTTGAAAACAGTTTTAGCTGCTTTTTTAAAACTCATGATACACTGCCATTCAAAAGTAAGGAGTAAGTAAGTAAGTAAGGGAAAAAAAAGAAATTAATCAGTTTATATTTAGCAAAGGCAATTTAAATTGATTCAAAAAGACATTTATTAAATTAATAAATATTTGTAAAAAGTTATATTTATAATAAATGCTGTTCTTTTGAACTTTCTATTCATCAAATAATCCTTAAAGGGGTCATAGAATCACTTTTTCAAGTTGATTGAACTGAAATGTGCGTTGGCAGTGCCTGTACATCATGTAATGATAAAAATCTATCCAGTGTTTTTGTTTTAATCTCCTTATATGTTTTCCCCTGCCTCAAATCGAGCCGTTCGACCGTGTGACGTCACACGGTCAGACGCCCCTCCCACGATTGTTGATTGACAGCAGCGTTTCAACACATCCTCGCCCTGAACGAGCTGTCATCATAGTCCGCCATTGTTGATAGACTGGAGCAGAATGGCGTCTAAGTGATTGTGGTGTTCTGTTCTTGGGTGTAATAACGAACACAGCAGTCATTTTGATGTTCCTAAATCCGAACCGCTGAAGACGCAGTGGCTGAGTTTTGTTTTCGAAGCAGGGAATATTCCCCACGATCAACGTCATGTTTGCGCGATTCGCGAATCTTTTCTCACCAGACTGCTTTATAAACGAGGGTCAGTATAAAGCTGGTTTTGCTAAGAAGCTGCTCCTGAAAAAAGAATCGGTACCAACTATTCATGTCCCTGCTGCACCTCCAGAAGAAGTGTGTGTAAAATTGTATTAACCTTATATTAATCTTTGCAAACCGCTTGCACGCTTCACGATGAATGTGGCTAAGGTTTACACTCAGGGTACATTACGGCATGTTTTCTATGTATGACGTTCTCAATATAATACATAATCCCACGTTTATAATGAACAACGCGTTATGGTTATTGTGTTATTACAAATTGAGTACTTATACATCAGTAAACACATAGCGTTCGTACGTCTCACTAAGTTACTCTAACGTTATCCTGCCAGTACATACAAAGATAGATCAAAGTGACATTGTTAACCACTAACCAACCATTCAGAAACGTCCTGTTCGAGCCTTAATTGTCGAACTTCTTCGGGGCGTCAACTTGTTCCGGGTCCGACTCCGGTTCAAACTGATACGATTGCACAGATGTGTCCTCCTCAGAGACTCCCGCTGTCATTCTCTCTCCAAAATATACAGTAGCACCTCATTGCAGTACACGAGATCCAGGGGGCGGAGTTGGATCCAGATCTAGGGGTGGGGTTAGGGATCAGGGGGTTGAGATGGGTAGGATTAGGGGTGGGGTTAGGGATCAGGGGGCGGAGATGGGTAGGTTTAGGGGTGGGGTTAGGGATCAGGGGGCGGAGATGGGTAGGTTTAGGTATATGCAAGGTGGGAGGAGTTGGATCTGGATCCAACTCCTCCCCCTGGATTTCGTGTTCTGCAGTGAGGACCATCTCAAAATATACCCTCAACTGTTGTCATGGCAACACTCCACATGCATAGTGTCAAAACGCCCGCAGAACAGAGGGGCGGAGTGAGCAAAGCTCATTATCATTTAAAGGCATATACACTGAAACGGCGTGCTGAAAACAGCTGTTTTTGACCAGGTAAAATTAGTTTTCTTACAATACTAATGAGAATTTTTTATTAAAGTATATTACAAACTTTTCATTTAGACCTTAAAGAATCAAATTAACTTGTATGAAAACGGCATTATATGACCCCTTTAAAAGGATGCCGTGGGAAAAAACAGTTTCCACAAAAATATTAAGCAGCACAACTGTTTTTAACATCCTTTCTTTAGCAACAAATCAGCATTAGAATAATTTCTGAAAGATCAAGTGACACTGGAGTAATGATGCTGAAATTCAGTTTTGCCATCACAGGAATAAATTAGATTTGAAAATATATTGCAATAGAAA